CCATCACGTGCGTGCTTTCACATTGAGCAGCATTAACTACACAGAGCCGTTGTTCACTGACGAGCACGCAGGTGATGGAGATTTACCGCTAATTACAGAACCGGCTTTCTGACAAGATGCGCATTAAATATCGCATGCGATTTACCGTGCAGCCCTAACAAAAACTGTGACGTAAATCTATTGACATTTTCGTCAACGAATAAAAACGAGACGAAAATGTTTGGGAGAGACGATTTGGGAAGAGATTAATTCAGAACAAATCTGCTGCGTGGTTTGGAGCTTAGTTAGATGCGTACAAAGAATAAAAAAAATCTGCAAAGTTACAAAGCTCAAAGTCCACTTCAAAAGGAGATAAAAACTACAACGAACGACTCGTTTGGACTACAACGCATTAGGGATATGCCGGTATCAAATTTTCATGTTGCGATTAATTGCTAATGCTTTTATTACAGTATTGTCACGATATTGAAATTTTGTTTAAAAAAAAGTGCTGTCATAATACCTTTATGAGAAATGGTTTTATTTAATTTTAACATAAAGGCATGTTGTGTGTCACCGCAGTTAAATCGGTGTCTATCATGATAAAACCTTAATATCAAACCTATATAATTAGTTTGGGAATTTTAGGGAAATGCTTAATAAATGCACTATAACTAAACCCATTAGATTTTAGCCGACTAAATTTACTGTAGATTTAGTCGACTAAAACTAAAAACAATTCAGATTACTAAAATGACTAAAACTAAATGGCATTTTAGTCAAAAGACTATGACTAAAACTAAATCAAAATTTGCTGTCAAAATTAACACTTTTACAGAGACCACGTATGTTAAAAGATTAGTGAAAATTTGATTTCTCATGTCATGACCCATTTAATATCAGTGGATCTTTAATATCTGTGGAGATACCTGGAGTAAGCTATCAATAAGCATTCCCATTCATCTTATTGGCATTATTTGTATCTTGCTGCATGATTAAAAAAACAGCACCACTTGCTGGAGCTTCAGCATTGTTGCATTTATTGCAAGACTTGTATGTCCTGTGATTCAGATTCTAAACCAACTTTTTGGTTTAGCAGCTCTGCGAAGGGGTTACTTGAGATGGATGACATGATTTTTTTCCCCCCTCATTCTTTTTAGATTGCTGAAATGAAGAACTGTTGCCCAGCTGGCCAACATTCCGGTTAACCTACAGTTATTGGCCAAACAATTAATAAGGCAGAACACCAGACTCCTCAACTAAAACACAGACTTGACAGAAAAAGAGAGATGCAGCCTCTGCCTTTTCTTCCAGAACAGTCTTGAAAATGGTCTTCCCCCCCGCTCCTTGATTACTGTTTTTTTTTTTAAGGAGATTCCACACTAAAGATCTGTGTCTGGAGCAGAAGCTCCGTCTGTGACATGGTAAAAGTGGGGTTAGACACTCTGGGAGAGGGTTCAGGACTTTCTTAATGCCTGCAGAGAGAATGGGGGACATTTCAAAAACATGTTCATGTTTGTAAAATGATCAGAAATGTTTTTTTTCCCCCATAATGTTTGGACTATCACTAATCATTTGTACAGAGAAGAAGCTGTCCTTCATTCATCAAAACATTTTCCTGAGTGACTTTTAACACTCTGCTTTCATATTCCCCATAATATGCTTAAGATTCTTATTTCCTTTTATCTAAACAAACTGAAAAATTACAAATGTCTTTTTTTCTTTTGGTGGTAAGGGTAAAATAAGAAAGTTGGATCTGTCTATCTTCAAGATAAAGATATATTGTGCTGAAGCTAATGCATTTGTTTTTTTCACAATCAAAATTACATTAATATTTCCAGCTTTTAAAGATAATTAACTTTTAGTATATTTTCTTCCTTTTTTTCCCTTGGTTGTATTTTGCGGTAGGCTGTAGCTCAGCCTGGGATAAATATCAGCCGTTTTGTGCCTGAGCAGGAGAAGGGTGAAATCAGATCTCTATTGCAGAGATGACTTCTCCTCCGATAACCGCTAAACCAATAATCAATAGTCAGTCCTTGACACTTCATTTGCCAAGTTAAATCAGTGTCAAATATTTTATTTTAGCTTTCATTGTTCTGCTCCGTGGTTTTGTTGAGCATTTCAAACAAAGTGTCTGGCTGGCTTTTGATTTGTTTTTAAAGTAATGTGTGTTTTGATTTTTTTTTTTTGACAGATTTAAATAAATGTATTTCATATTGATGTGGTGTTTTATGTGTATTTCTATATTACCATTCCTCACCAACATAGACCATTATAGAGAAACAAGTTTTTCAGTGTGTCTCACTTTGTGTACTGTAGATACAGATATAACACAAAGCCATATAAATAATTCCACTTATCTTACATTTTTCTACAAAGGTCCTTGCAGATATGGAATGCAACAAACATAGGTGATTCATACTTGCTGCACACCAGATTACATGCTGCATTTAAACAAAAAAATCATAAAGATTCATGATCAGACGTGACAAAAGCAAATATTCCTCAAGACTTGAATGAAATATCCTGTGCCTTTTTAAAATGTACTCTTATAGGCCAACAGGAACTGTATATTTTTTAATTTTATTTAAAAAAAACAGTATCCCACATCACATCATGTATTAAATAGCTCTGAAAACAGGTATAGAGACTATTTCAGGACCAACAGCCATATATTTATATCTATTACAGAAAACAGGTAGGTATTTGAATTTGCTCAGTTTAAATTTTTTTTGCATAGCAGTTTAGCATCATTGCATAGTTTTTCAGTCCAGTACAAAGCAGGTTTATGCTTGCAAAGCTAAGACATGAGTAAGACATTTGTGAAAAAGCACCAATCAGGACTTTTTCATAGAATGACTGACAGGCCTAAACCTAAACAGATGGACACAAACATCAGCAGAAACAGCATTAGGCTCTCAAGGGATCTCACAGAAACACAGTAGGGCAACACAATGTGACTGAATTAATATTTTTTTCTCTGCTCTGCCATGCTTACATCACCAAAAAACATAAATGCATTCCAGAAATGTTTACCTAACATAATTTTGGAATCAATAGTTTCTGGAGTGCTACTCCTCTCACTTGAGGAAGAAGGACAATATTACCTCTACATCGGCAAGTGGCAAGCAAATCTGTTGCAAATGATGTTTATCGCTCAACTTTTACAGTTTGCTTCACATTTAGTTTACACATTTACCATGAAGATAGAAATATTATTTTATCATTTTCAATTCAGATGTAGTTATTTGGGTTTGTTGTTCACAATACAATTATTTTGTTTAGACTACTTTCGACTTGAATATGTGACAATAACAAATGGCTGACTTTCCTACGTGCATTTAAAGGCAGGATTGTGATTTGACAATTGCTTTTACGACAATTTTGATCATAAAATCCACTAATTATGTCTAACAATTGCTAATAATATGTGTAACAGTCTCTTCCATGTAGAATTATATCAGACCCACACAGCTGAGCTGTAATCAAACACAGATGGATGCTTCCCTACAATCTCCACCCATCCTCTGTCTATCAAACCCTCTGAGCCCCGATAGGGCATGCCCTCTTGTACAGTGGTTGTGGTTTTCTTCTTCATTCCTCTTGTTCTCACCCAGAATGGCTTGCTGACATCAGATTTTGACTTTCTGCGTGTGATCTTTGGTTGTTTACAGACATCCATTGCTTTGCTTTCTTGGTGGTGCTGTGGCCGAACGAGGCGTAGGACCCGTTTGAAGATGCTTGCTGTTAGTGAGAGTTTCTTGGAGAGATCTTGAGAGTGACTGCTAGATGATGACTCCGAAAGTGTGTCTTTAAGAATCAAGTCATTCCGCTCCTTACCTGCTGTCTGGCCTCCAACATCAGGCAGGTCCAGCCAGTTCCCAACCAAATCAGCAAAAACATTGTCACCCAATACCAATGGCTGTCTGTTTCTACTGTGGTTCATCAATGAGGCTGTCCAATCCGTGGAGTCATCGATATCGTATGAAGATAAATTGTTGTCGGTTGTGTCTTCCTGAGAGGAAAAGGAGGAAGAAGTGCTCAGACTTCCTCTGTAAATCATCCTGGGTTCATGTACCCTGGGAGTTTGGCGGTTCTCTGCTGGAGAACTAGTGAGGAACAAAGACGGTTCCATGATAAGCTCAGTCTTGAAACATTCTTGTGAAAGAATTTCTTCTGGATTCTGTGTTCGGTTCAGGTGGGTTATTCTTGAACTGCAGTTTATCGGATCGAGCATTGTGTGAGTGTATGAAGAGGCCTGGCTCGTTTTACTGGAGAACTCCAGCTCCTCCAGTGCAGTCTGGACCTGCAAGAGTTTGAGCTCCTGGAGAGCGCCGATCACAGAATTCATCTGAGCTTGGAGACCCTCATCTGACTGCCACAAAGAATCCTATAATGGGAAAGGCAAGAAAGCAAGAGAGCAATTACTATAGACATAATGAAGCAATTATCAATGAAATCTGTTGTGACTGATGAATAACGCTTATCTCACACTCACTTCACAGTAATTATCAAAAATCAATATTACACCAAACAGTCTGCAATTTCTGCCCAGTGTGCCATCACAGATACCTGGCTCAGCATCTGCTGAAGAGAATGCAGATGTTTTTTTCCTTGTCACAGCTTCCAAATGAATTGCTTACTGAACTACAAATGAACTACACTACTGATTGATCAAAAATGACAATCAAGACTTTTATATTAGTATAAAAATGTAAAATAAATGCTGTTCTTTAGATCTTTCTATTTACCAAAAGAATCCTGAAAAATTCTATCACGGTTTACACAATATTAAGCAGCACAACTATTTTCAACATTAAAAATAATAATAAAATAATTGTATTGAGCACCAAATCAGCATATTAGAATAATTTATGAAGGATCATGTTTTATTACATGTTTATGTTTATTAGTAAATACATTTTTTTGGACAATTATGAACATATAAAGTTGTAAACATTGTAAAAGAGGTTGTAAAAACATAGTTTTGTTAAATGTTAATGTGATTTATATGGAAAAGCAAAATGTATGTCTTTAAGCAAAGTTATGAGCCAAAATGTTTATATACATTTTTTATATCCCATACTGAGTCTTTGTTTAGTTGTATTTATTTATTTATTCCATCTCTATACACTACAAAAATGCCCTTTTTCTTGTTACAGAATGTCATCCTACCTTCTTTCACCCTGCAGTCTTCGCGTTTCCCTGTCTTTCCTTCTCTCGTCTCACTCCCTGTTTTCTGTTCTTTCTCTCCCTTACAAGTGTGATTGATCACCAGCCAGTCTGAGCACAGCAGCACACCACTGATGCTTTTCTCCAGTAGTATTGTGTCTCAAGGCATGATGGGAGATGTAGGAGCTTATGTGAGTGAAGTGACTAGACTGTAAGTCATGGGCGAACAGCTGAGGCATGTATTTTACTGGGTTGGTCATAAACGGAGGTTTAGGGAAGGACCTGAAACATTCCATTCAATATGAATTGGATATTCAAACAGGATGTTATATAGCCTGCTTATGTAAGCAGTAGAGCCATAATGTCATCATAAAAGTCACTTTTACAATGAGAATTCTGTTTTTAAAGTTTAAAGAGGCAAACTATTGCAACTAATCACTTTTACGTATATAACTTAGCCCTGTTTGCTAGTTATGGCAAGTTCCTTGTTCACTATTTCATCAGATTCTGGCGTAGGTCCTATTTCTCATTGTGTGATGCCACTGACTTCTCCAGTGTCAGTTTCCTTTGGGCTGTGCCCAGACAGACAGCAGTATTAATCAGACATCACTGACCCCACCAACAAATGATTGATGTTGTGAGTAACATCCTTGTAGCCCTGTTTCCTCATTTGGCAAGCACTCATTCTCTCACTCATTCATCTCAATCATACAAATAAAGGTTATTTAAATTAATATAACGTAAATAAATAAATAATTTAATTGTTATCTAGGATAAATAAATATGTTTTTTTTATGCCATAAGGGTTTATTGCAGCGCTTTTCTACCGCAATGTTGGATGTTTTAATCTGATCACAGAGCCAACAGCGTGATTTTGTTTGACAAAAATCTCACAACCTGCACTTAAATTTTAAAACATTACAGAAGTGCCAGTGCCGGCCAATCAGCGGTCTCCTTTTAAAAAAACCGCTGCCAATCAGTTTGCACCTTTTCTCCTGCACCGGACAACAGCTGGATAAACATAAACACACAGAGGTGCAAAACTGCGCAGGAGAAAGGCGTATAAAATTGTTTATGAAAACATTATAATGCAAAGTCATACTAATCATGACCTACATATCTGAGAAGATTCAATAAAAACACACCTGTCCCGTAAAAGCAGAAGACAAAAGAGAAAACGATCAGGAAAATCTCACCAGTTCATGTTTTAGACGCCGAAGGTTGCTACCGGGACCCGTTTTCTGTTCCCCCATAACTGCTGAATTACAAAGTAAAAAAAATTTATTAACTAAACGCGGGTTGATTCGTTAAAACTTAGTTGCTTTTGATGTCGCTATCCGCTGAGTTCTTTGGTTTCTTCCGCGTTGCTTTCTGATGGTCAGTCGTGTTTGACCAGCGATGTTTGCTAATATAATATTCCTCCTCTA